AGTGATTAATTGGTATTAAGTACGGAGCGTCCTGCTGAGTTTAAATTTAAATTTAAATTGTCACTGCTTGAAAGAATTAATTATATGAAATTTATTATATTCTACAGTTTCTCTGTGTTTTTCACAGGTCAGGATATTCAAATTATATTAGCCTCTCAGCCTCTGAGACACACAATTTTAAAATAGTGATAGCGACACCATAGCGAATTGATAATTCAGTGCAATTATATTTTATTTTATTGAGATTTTTTTTTTTATAATTAGATTATTTTGGCAAAAAATTGTTTATTCATAGTAAGATCTTATTCATTAGATGTTAGAAAGAATGTAACTTGTTAGATAATATACAGATAAAAATTGATTTTTTGCTTAAATGCATATAATTACAAATGAAAATTACTATTAATACGCTACATTATTATTAATGCGCATTTAAAATAAAAGATCTAAGTTAGATGTCCTTTATGAAATATTTAATAAAAGTTAATATAGTCTTAAGAAGGATTCATGAAAAATGTATGCATTTTTTGTTTGTTTTGTTTTTGTTAGAATTTATGCTCAAAGACGTGAGAAACGTATAAAAAGTAGTCGTTACTCTTCTGCGGTAAGCGACCGACTGGGAAGCAACGTGACGTCGCATTTATAATATTATTCAATCTGTAAACAAATACGTATAAATTAAGAAAAAATACGTGACGTACTTGGAGAGGTCCTTCAGTTCGAATTGCTTAGCCAACTTCTCGGGTTCCGTTGGCAATTCAAGAAGGATCATCTTGTCCAAGCTCTTATTCGCCATCTCATCCTTCAGATCCTTGATGAGTGAAACAAGGCGCTCCTTATTATCCGCTGTCACACTAAGTTCGACACCATCGACCTTACGATAATAAAAGTTTTCTTGAGAATGGAAAATAAACGACAATAAATTTAGTCTGAGCATCTGACAAGATTAATCGAACACCGATCTGATTGTTTAATTTATAATTATTTCAAGTATAGAATAGAGAATTTACGATCGATGCAGAGATTTTCAAATATTATTCAGTATATTATTATTTCATTCTCATGTCATTGTTTAGTAATTTAATTCGTCGTACATAATTCATTATTGGTACATTATCATTGGTTTCTAATATATTTAACGTAGTACATTTATCTTCCGAAAAATAAATAAATAAATACAACATTTATTTGTACTGAAGGGATTATTAATAATTTTAATTTTATCTTAGATGTTATTTATTTTTCAAATACTATCGTTAATTAGAATTAAATTAATTAGTAGTGCAATTGGAATTATTAAATGCAACTGTTTTCTTAAAAAATTGTTCTAATATTTTTTCCGAAATCATGGAATTTATTAATGATACACAAACACACACACACACACACGCACGCACACACACACACACACACACACACACATATATATATATTACCATAAGGAAATACGATATTTTAAAATAATTTATATACTAGCGATTGTTTGATTAAAACTAAGGAGAAAATCTTATAATTCAGAGCATTGAAATAACGTTTATTGCAATATATTCCATAGAAAGTTTGAGCGACCTTTCTAGATAGGCAATTTGAGTTTCTGAAATATTTAAATTTTTCAATCGTTACTTTTCACAGTGCATTTAAAAGTATAATATCTACAGTTAATTCAATTAGAATTGAATGGAAAATCTATTGTTAATATTACATAAACATAAATTATAAATAAATCATGAATTACAGATAAATAATAGAGTACTTAAATATTTATACAAAAATACTTTGTATAAAAATGAAGGTTCGACCAAATCATGAATATCTTTTCAAAAAATTGGCATCAACACATTAAAAAACATGTAGAATTCTAAATAACGACGACGCATAGCTTTACATACTCTACAAATTAATAATTATTTAACATCTGATTAATTACCTTGCACTTAATTATATAATGATCATGTAAAGTTTATGAAATTGTAACTTTATTGCTACACTTTTAACGAAAATCACTTCTCGTCTATGCAGTAGTTAATTATCAGCATGGTATAGTAATTATTATTATTTATAAGAAAACTGAGCAGGCTGACTGCAAAACTAAAACTACAATCAATCAGCAGGCTAGAGAATTTTCATAAGAATTTTTTTCAAAAATAATTGCTTCTTATTACCCACCCAGCTAACCTCTATCTTTTGAGAAAGGCTCACCTAATAAAAACAAAAGAATAAAGAAAACAAGCAGGCGAATCCAAGAGGTAAATAAAAGTACGAATGCCGCGGACAGAAGTTAAATTCAAATAAAGAATGAAGGATTACGAGGATCACACGCACACACGAGCACCGGAGGGTCTTTATCACAATGTTACATGTGCACACGATAAAAACAAGAAAGAAAAACGGCTACAATTGAGACGTAATTCACGGCAGTTGGCAAAAGTGCGCGAGAGGGCGAAAAAATCGTGAGTGATTTAGAGGAATTGCCTGAGGCGTCGCTGCTACAGAGTTAGCGAGATAGAGAAAGAGCAGGGCGCCGAGGAAAGTTGAAAAAGTGTGTAGGAAGCGACTCTTGGAGCTGTTGCTCCGGGCCGTTGACCCATACGTTGCTCATGGGCTTTTCCTCCCTCTCCCTGCGCCTCCGCCACCACTTATCAAATCACTTTCATGGTCGCGCCCGAGTTGTAGTTCGCACGTCTCCAGCTTCCACGAGGTAAAATTATAAGCGGTGCGAGCGATTCGCGCTATCGGTGTCTGCTAATTTGTAAAAGCCGCAAGCGCTACTTGTGACTCTTGTCGCGACTCTTGCGTTTACTTTCGGATCTCCGCGCTCTGTCCGTGCAACGTCTTTGAATGTCAATTTGCAATGTCTTTGGTACACTGTTTTTAGTGCGTTGTAACAAAGTACGTTCGGCTGCGTTTAACAAGCGATAAGTAATTTAAGCTCTTTGGTTAATAAGGCTTTATATAACCTTATTATAGCTCAAGTGCAATTCCCACGAATGCTTAAACTACTTTTTTTGGCCTTCCCTATGTTAAAAATGATTGTAATTACACCAAGACATGCTAGAATGAAGTATGATAAAATAAAGATATTATAACAATTTATATAAGAAACAATTAAAACTTCAAGCTTTTTAATGATGCTATTGTAATTAAGAATATAACGACTGATAAAATTAATATTCTTGAAAAAGTAATCTTAAAATTGGAATTGTATAAACGTAAATTGCAAAACACTTATTATTTACTTAGAATAATGTTTTATTAACTGTAAAACATTATGTTGGTTAATTCGGAATAAGGAAACAATTTTTGTACATTTGAATTATAAATAAACATCTTGTTTTTGAATATTGACCGTGGAGCAATAAGCAGTACCGATATATAATATAAAATTATATTATATAAATATATAAATATGTCTTGTTTATGTATGATTGAATGGTGATGCCAGATAAGAAAGCTTTTTAGTCGACTTTAATTAATATAAACAAAATTACGGATAGACAAGATAAATTATCATATATATACCAATACTACATAATAATGTATACCTACTATTACGTGTATATGTAAATATATACATACACCCACCAACACACACGCGCGCGCACACACACACACACACACACACACACACACACACATATATATATATATACATATACATAAGGAAAACATACCTGTATATCATTCAAATAAAAGCACCAGAACCTCTTAACAATTATTTTAAAAAATTACATCTATATTTCAACAAAATTATGCTTATCATGATATGGGAAGAATTACACTCAATGGTAATTAGTGATGTGTAATTCATAAAATTGTGCTTTAATGTTCCGTAAGAATACTCAAAATCATTGGAGTTCTACATTTTAGTCACTCGATTTTTTTAAAAATCAATTATTTTTATAGAATATATGAGATTAATAATTTATCGTACGTAGATATTATATTAAAAAATTAAACTATTTAAAAAACAATGAATATTTGTAATTTGTGTCCTAGATATATGAGATTTATATATTATAGGTACCATTAATAATAGTAAACCTATAATATCAATATAAGAATTATATAATAATATAATACAATATGCTCGATATATAAAAAGCTAACAACTGAGTTCATGTATTATTAATAATTATAATTTAAAGTAATTTATATAAAACTGAATTTATTTACTAATTTGAATACAAATTAATAGATAAAGCAATTATTATTTTCATAAAAATCGCAAAGAATTCTTAAACATCTTGGCTTTTAATTTTATTGTTTAATGTTTTTTTTTTTAACTATGAATAGATTAAAATTGCAATTTAACATGCATTAGAATTCTATAAAATTTAATCTGTATGAATGCAACAAAAGTTTAAATTATTAAAAAGTATACTTTGAATAGTAATTAGTGTTTAATCATATCATTTTTTATTTTTTGGTTTGAAAAAAAATTTTTTTTAAATATAGAAATAACTGACATTATTTATTAATGTTTTAATCATTTGAATTTTAAAGGATTATATATTTTTTTAATATAATACAAGTATAGAGAACGAATGGCGGTTATATATATTTATTACTTACTTCATTTAAAACTTTTGTTAAATTACCGACAAACTCTTTCCTTATTGTAGTTGACTTTTTCAGCAACTCGTGTTTGTCACTAATGGACATAACCACTTTTAAATTAGAATTGACTACTTTTGCACTGTCTTGTAAGCCCCGTAATTCTGAAAAAAAAAATGTAAATTAATATGTTAAACTAATATAAATAAATTTTTAATAAAATAATATCATGTCAAATTTACATTACGCAATAGAATACTTTTCAATTGCAAGTGTATGCTAGTAAAGTTATAAATTGAAATAGTTTAATTTTTATTTATAGAAATAGTTAAAAATTTTAAAGGCTTTAACGATTATGTTAGAAATTAATAATAAACTCTGCTATTATCTTCATATAATATATCATGCACTTTTATGCTAATATAAATTTAAAGAATGTTCATAGTTATTTTGCAATATTTATATTACAAATCATTTAAATGGCATAAGTATTGAAACAAACAATATATTAGTAAAAAAATCATTAAAAATTTTAGTTTTATTCTAATGTAATATTTAAATTTTTAGAATTAAGTCTTTATTCTCTTTTCCGCCTTATAAAGTATTATTCATATTTTAAGAGCACGAAATATCTTATTTTCCTAAGTAATATAAATGTATTGTTAATTAAATTTTATATGAAATAAAATAATAAAAATTTGTCAATTAGACATCCATGTTGGTTCATACGCTCCACTAAAATATGTAATATTTAAGATATTTTTATTTACAAAAGTAAATCGTTCTAATAGTAATATAATGTTTTTTTACATCAATTACTTTTTGTCAATTATTATTTTGTTTTATTAATCACTTACTGCTAATGATTGTCATAATGTTCTGTGAGATCGCGTATCTAATTTCATTATAGTTAGAGTTTTCAGCTTTTCATACACATTTAGAAAGCATAAAAGTCTGAAATTATACAACGTATATTTAAATACTTTGAAGATTGGAAAATAAATCTTCGAATAGAAAATGCATGTTACGCATATTAAGTATCACTCGAAAATACTAAATACAACTTTAAAGCAGGTGGTGCATTTATTAACCTGATTTACGATTTCCTTCGGGCTTTTAAGTCATTATGAAAATCATCAGTGAGTTGCAATTGTGTAAGCCATGCAAGTCCAAATATCGTTTATGACTCGATTGATTCTGGCACTATGTACGAGTATGGAGAATTTGTGAGTCTTCGTACAGACATTAAGAATGATCGAGAATGGCGATGACTTATACTTGTGATGTAATTTGAACGGTTTTGTTAGATTAAGGTGAAGGTCGATTGATGCGCATCGCGATTAGCCACGTTTCGCGCTTTACTAGAAATCTTTTATCTCGTTATATGTTGAATTTTAATTGGGAGTAGTTGATTTGGAAGATAAGGATAAGAGAGTTTTACATGCTTAATCGTCTTGGATATATAAAAATGAAATATTTTTGCCTTTGTGCAGAAATGATCTGCAATTTATCTGCAATTTTTTCACATGTTATTGCATCAATTACAATTGTACGTTTAATCTTTATTACATAGTAATGCCTAATTATTATTAAATAATAAGTTTCATCGGCTCATTGTTCAATTAATATTCCTTGATTATGAAAATTTACCGGTACTTTTTATTTATCTATCATTCGCTAAAATCAACCCACGGATTCAATTGTAAATTTTAAAAATTATCTTTTCATTCAATATTTGTATTTTAACAACATATTAATTACAAGAAGAATTACAGTAATTAAAATACTTCAAATTTTGCGTAATATAATATGTTATTTATATTTAAAGAAATTTATTTAAAATTATTACGAAATTATTACTGAAATTAAACTGTGATTTAAATTAGACTGTGTTTTTTATATTTATTGTAAAAAATTTAATTATTAGTAATGTTAATAAAAATCAGTTAAAGTTAATAATGAGATGAGATTTATGTGAACGTCTATTGTAATATTCAATGTAAGTTTTACCAAGAATAATATTCATATAATTAAATTTGAGGTAAAATATTGCTTGTTTTTCTTAATTTATTTTAGAAAATATTTTTTATAGCATGGCTGCATGTATTTTACTTTCTTGATTAACATCTTCTCACGAAGGTATAAATAATAAAGGAGCCGTACATTTACTTTGAATTTTTGTACCAGGATGAATCACGTAATGCATTAATTTTTTTCTCTCGCCGAAATATTGATTAAATAATTTGCGAAGGACGTATGACTCCCACGTAATGATTTGCTTATTGAGAGCAACAAGTTTGCGAATAATGAGCTTTCACTTTTGGTGAGCGGTAACATCATTTATACAGCTGGCTGCAGACGTAAACACGTATTCAAAAAACCAGTCCCGAAATACGTGCCGCCGCACTTTGGGACCGATACGAGAGCAAATAAATAAGCAAGGACTGGTCATATAAAAGCAGTAATATCGTCATTGTAATTTCGTAACGGAAATACCTTACTTTTCATCTTAATATTTCGTTACTTTCTGCATTAAATTTGTCCATGCAAATTCCAACAATATCAATGTCGTCACTGCATAATGAAGTTCTATAATAAGCTATATTATTATAAATTATTAGTTAGTTTTAATCAATGAGTAATCATGTACTCATTAATTTAATATCATTTATATTTGGAATATTGTAGTTAACACTCTAGGGCTTAGTTTATATTCAGAATGTGGAGATCTCTAAGAAAACGTACATATTAAAATTGCTTACTTTTTATTATACGTTAACGATTAGATATTTAAATCAATTTTATTGTAATATTTGAATATAATTTTTAAACACATGAATAAAATATGTGCAATAAAATTAAAATCGATACTAAAGTTTCCTAAAAGAAAAATGAATATTTTATGAGATAATTTAAAATTATAATAACTTTTAATCATCATTCTATCTATCGTATATATACGTATAATTCTTAAAGATGCAGTTAAATTTAGAATTCAAAGAAGTTTTCTAAATCTTTTTCTAAATCATTTATACAATATACGAAGAATTTAAGCTATAATAAAGGTACACAAATTTTGTTTGTGTATTAATGTTGTATGTAATAATTTAAAGTACATTATATTTATAAAAATTAATAATATAAAGCAATATAAAGGTTTTTTTTGAAAGGGTAATTATGCATTAAAAAAATTGGAAATATGATAGCAAATAAATATGTATAAATATATATAAATTTTAATGAATAAATTATAAGTAAATAAAAAAGCATCTGTTACATAGTTTATTAATTGGTATGTTTACAACAAAGTAGATAGACGTTTAAAAAGAAAAATTTAATGTTATTTTATAATACAGATATTCTTGGTTTCTTATTCTATTCTGTGCATCCGTTTATTCGGATAATTGAACATCTTTGAATTAATTTGCTTTATAATATTACTGCTACATAAAGTAAATATTACAAAAGAATATCACTTCACTTGATTATCATTGATTTTCATTTAGAAGATTTTATTTACTGTTTATTTCATAAAACATAAATACACATAAATTGATACACATTACAGTATTTGGTTTATCTTTTAAATTCGTTCTACCGACCGAGTAGTAATTTTCAATATGTTCCGGTATAGCTGTTTTATTAGTTATATCACCAGGATATAACTAATTTTGTACGCCATAATCGGAGAAATTTGGTAATATCTGACAAACACGTAGTGTAAGCATCAAGAAAATTAATCTTTTTAAGTTAATTTTCTATAATAATGTATATCTATATGGGGCATAATATTTTGTATATTTTAAAAATTAAATAAATTAAAAATTTTACATTTACAATTCTTATGCAAATGCAGAAATCAAAAGTTATTATTTATTTTGACTTTTTTCTTTTTTTACACAATTGTTCATTACTCATATATATATATATATATATATATATATATATGATTTTAATAATTTAAATAATGGAAAATTAAATTCTTCTTTAATCGAATATGCTTCAATTATATAGAAGCAGAAATCAATTTTTGGATTTATAGATGATTATAATATATGCAATATTTTTTTTCGAAAAATATGACAACGATATTATGATCCACTTAAAAATTAATATTGTACATAAAATAATAATATTCTGTAATTATGTTTTATATTTGTATTATTACACTATTTTAACATTAAAATTAAGATTATACATAAAAATAATTTGAGAAATAAACTTGTTTATGCATACGTAAAAGTAATAAGTAGAATTGTATAGGAAGTGTTATTTTAGTTGATTTTAGCATTTCATAATTTTATAATAATTAATAGTTAATAGGAAAAATAATTAATGAAAATTTTCATGATCCGGTGTTATGTAACGAATGAAAAAATGTAATTGTAACCTATATTTGCTTTGAAATTAACGTGGAATTTTAAAAAATTTTAATATATAAATAATTGAAAAATAATTAAATGAATAAATCGGAAATAAAAAAAAATTTTTTTTTTTAAATATATATATCATTAGCGATGATGGAGACAATAATATTTATGTATAACTATTTACTTAAATCCTTTATCCAAATGTGACAGTTGGACATAACAATTTTTTTATCGATTGATTTGCAGATTATTTAAATATACGTTTATACGTGTATTTCTATCTTGCATAAAACATAAATACTCGTCTTCGTTATGTAGATTTTAATAATTACAATGAACGATTGATAATAACTCCTTCAATGAAATTTTCAATAAAAACGTGCAAAGTGTGGTCGATACAAGGCGACCATCGCATAGTCCTTACTTTATATTATTATACTTTATAACAACTTTGATTATAGTCGTATGTGCAAACTTATATATGCTCGTAAATATTCATTGTTGCATTGAATATTTATAATTTCATGACGTAGAGGATCTCGTGATCGTCGCGTATTCACGCCCGAATGAAAAATTTTTTTAACGCAATCTCCGAAAGGCAATTTTTTGAAATGTCATCTTACGTAATGAAAAGTCAACTGATCCCCAAGGGAATATAACAATGAAATCAATGCTCCAGGGAGAAGTAAATCAGCAATTTGCTCGAGGGCATCGAATTCTTACGGACTTCAATTTACTCCCCGAAATATTTTTAAACTTAGTTTCAATTATCATCATTACAAAATGCAAAATCAATGAAACAAGACTGCACGGGGCTTATGCAAAATCTTGAAATTGTCAATATTAAGAATATCTATTTCATATAAAATTATTAATAAATAAATTCTAAATAAAATTTTTGGATTCTTATCCAAAAATGATGAATGACGAATAAAAATGTATTTAATTAATATATAATAAGTTATTGTTATTTTTAAGGTCCTTTTATATTGTCAGATCTAAGATCTACTTTACTACTTGGTTTTAAAAGTTTGCTATAGTTTGCTTTTCGGTCAAACTCATTGTTTTAAGCTAACGTATTAATAATATCCTTCGTCAGTGTTAAATCTTTTATTTGATAAATAACAAGCTTAAACATAATTAATATTAAATTAACAGTGGTAAGCTTTCTCTTCAATTTAGGATCCTATTATATTTCTATTTTGCTCTCGTTTTAATTAAAATCTCGTCGAAAGAGTTTTCCTCATTTATCGTCTAAACTGCTATTCTATTGTATTGTATGAGATACTTGGATTTCATCGGCTTTTGTTTTCACATCAAATTTAATCGTAAAAAAATACTTATAATTGATTATTGCAATGAAATGTATTTGGATTAAAGTGAACCGACTACGCTTTTTGCTGGGCCTCATTATTCGTCCGCTGAAAATTATATCGTGAAAATAAGCAAAAACATCGTTCGAGCCTTGGAAGTCTACTCGTTCACCCGCGATGAGCGCAAAAGCTCGAAAGTATCGGGCAGTGGGTACGTAGAGGCCAACTCGGTCGTGCTCACGCGATAATCACGCGCTAATTACTTCGTGTCGTTATTGCGTAAGCAAAAACACGAAAGATCGGCAGAGCCTGCTGTCCTCGTTCCACATCACAACCCTCGCGACAATCGTAAAGCCGCTGACATTGCGGGGGAAATTCGAGGATCACTCAGGGATGGATGTGTGCTCTTGAAGGCATAATTACTGCGACTGGCAATTATCACTTGGTATGCTGTCCTATTTTTTGTTAGGAGTATCTGGTTTCATTGGGGATTGAGGAGCATAGTTTTTGAAAGGTGATATTAATCTGCGGCTCGAGTAACATTTAACGGCGCAGTTTAACTTTTCGAAGAATGCACGAGTTCTTTTAGCGCTATTACAATCTATTATGGATATTCTAGTTGCACTCGACTCTGTGTAGAATTCAGTAGAATTTAATGTTACGAAATGTGCATAAAAATTCTGGCTTGTAACCGTTCGTTTTTGCGTATGGCCATTGTCTTTTTGGTTTAAAATGGTCAGTATTTTAATGAAGTTTTTTCACGTGGAAAAGGATATTACATTATTCGACCAAAAATTAATTTATCGCCCTATAAAACATCGATGCATTATTAATTTGCATTGGTATTAACACTTTTTTTTATTATTATCTACAGTGATAAGCGATATTAAACGGCATTAAATATTTAAAGAACATTTAACAATCTTAATAACATGTTATCGAAATTAAATGTTTAATAATGTAAATATGATGAGTTATGAATTAATGGACTAGAAAGGCTTATGTTTAAATCAATAATAGACATGGTAAGACAATGCGAAAGTGCTGCATGAAAAACTTGTTCAATCGAAGATCTTTGAATCGGTAAATGAATCGGTAAATTCGAATAATAAATTATACTTAATGTAATAAAAAATGCCCTGATTAATACATTGAAACTTGAGAATGACTTTTTTAAAATTTGAATTAAAATCCTTAGTATATTGAGAGAACTCATCGTGCTTTATATGAATGTGAATTATATTCGCAACTAATATTAACAATTGATCTCACGAAATGTTCGACCATTCGAAATATCATATAATAAAGGCACTGCTTAATAGTTAAAGAAATAATCCATAATATAGTTTATGCATACTTAGTAGAATAAACTTTATGGCGAAGTTTCATTATTTCGGGCCAAGACCAGTCCTTTATCTATTGGAATATTAATTCGCCTTTGAGCATTCGTACATAAATATTTGTGCCGATATTAAAAATAAAACGAAATAGTCGAGCCTGCTAAATACATTATATAATTGCAGTGCGCGGGTTCGCAATATGAAACGTTGATGTAATTTCCCGATTTCATAATGACAAATCGCATTTATATCAGAGCACAGCGATCGCATTATTCGGTGGCCAATGCAATAAGCGACGTATTTTTATTAGTCACCAAAAGTCGTATTACACCGATCGCGACAAGAAGCACGGATCCGGATGGATTTGGGGGCGTCGAATATATCTCCTGTGGAGAGTCACAGTGTCGGAGGAGTTAATACTCTCTGCACTCTTAGGCGATTAATAATCAAGAACGATCGCCTTAAATAGCCTCCCACCGATATTGTCGCACGTTGCCGCATCGCGCAAAAACCCACGCGCGACCCGAGGGAGGCATCGCTCCCACATAGGCGACTTTTACTCACCGGAAACATCGAGGTTTTGCAGGTCATGACCTTGGTGGATGAGAGTCGTGCAATGGCAAATGGCGTCCTCTAGATGCGGAGTGTCGTCGCTCCGGGTGTAGCAGATGATCTGTCGACCTGTCGAGACCGACCGATCCGGACATTCTGCAATGCATTAGAATTATGTTATAATTTCCTCGGACTTTGGGAACGGCGATATTAATTGAGAATGAAATTACTTTTCTTGTGATATTTGAAAATTGGATTAAAAATACATACAATGTTATCTATTAAATAAAAAAAAAAAAAAAAAAAAAAAAAAAACATTGAAATTTTTAGCTTATTGTATGGTAATATATTAATTAATGGTAAATTAGATGTAATTGAAGACAGTTTTAGATATAATTGATTTATGTATGTACGCATATAGCTTATAATTAATTCTAGAAAGAAAATATTATTTATTGTTAAAGTATTTGATTTTAACTCAAATTTTTTCTATTATATAGCTATCATCGTATTACACGTTATAGATATATTATTTAATTAAATCTAGGTCGGTGAATTAAAAAAGTAAAATCATTGAACATGTTTACTTTTGCTTGATTAAGTCGAAGAGAAAAAAAATTGTCGTTTCTTGTATTATTTGCTTAACTGACCGAATAACTTGTCGAAGTGATTGTGTTTGGTTATTTTAACTGTGGTAAAGGTATTATTTATGTAAGGGAGTAGTTTCTAGCTGAGTCGACTAACACAAAATAAAAGTTACACTATAATAATTATATTCTATAACGTAAGATAATAATTAAAATTATATTTCAAGTAATATTTAAAGGCATTAATTAAATTTTAATATGTAACTTTTAGAATCATTTAATTCGAATTGTCCGTATTTGAAACAATATGAATGAAATTTTGTAAGATAAAATGGATTAGTTCCATTCCTTTTAGTATATTTTTCATTTTATATTTAAGCTATTAAAATATATGTGACTTCTAGCGTATACAAAGTTTTCCATACAATTGTTACAATAATAAACTCTATAATATTTATGTTCAATTAATTTTAAGATTATAGATTCTAGAGATAGTCATTGGTAACGCGACAATTCAAAAACATTTTTTAATTTAAATTTCACTTCCATCTTCAAAATAATATTTAAATATCAATTTAATTATAAAAAGTAATTGTAAAAATTAAATTCTATTTAATGTAGATAAGTAATTTGGCTAGTTTATTTAGAATATCCAAATTTTCCATTTTTAGTTTTTCGATTGAGATATTAAACGTAATACAGTAATGGAAAAAAATACCTCTGTCAGATATATACACGATAATTAAAATTTTATTCAATGAAGAAAAATATAAGTATGTAAAAATTTATGATACTTATGTATTCCTTTGACTTATTATTATTACAAGATAAATTTAATATTGTGCTTGTACGATACTAGGACATATTTAATTATGCATTTTCCCGTAATATCTAATAGGGATTTGATTTACGAAAAGTTTATAGGAAGTATTCATAGTATTGGTAATTTATTTAATAACGGAAATCTATGTAGGAAGGCTGAGGAGTCGGAAAACTAGCACGTGTGACATCATCGATAATGCAATCCTTTTAAATCTCGTTGCAGTGGTTAATTGTATAGGCATACACACGAGTCTGTTTTTACAATCAAAACGTGAAGAACTATTGCCCGATTAATAAAAATGATAATAATATTTGTTCTGAATTGATTAATGCAATTTATAATTAAAATTGTTGTGTTATCGAACAAATCGTTAAAATAATGTTAGATGTACATTATCAATTTAAAGGAAAATTATTACATACTTTAGTACACGATAGGTTACATATATAGAGCTGTAATTATATTCTATAATCACTTTTTACTTAAAGCAATTGAATAATCGTGTAATAATCATATATTTTATATACAATTTCTTAAATGAAAAATTATACTTCAATTTTGTATGAACAAAACCATACAATTCTATTTTTATTACTTTTCTATGTTTTACCTAATTGGAATGTTAATTATAGAGAAAAATAAATAAATGAAGTGTTAATGAAACAATATAAATACCAATTTATATTCTGCCTAATTTAAAATTATATCGACACTGTAAAGATAACAATTAGATTATATTTCAGTATTAAGTAATCTAGTATTTTTTTTTATCAATATTACAATCGATTTTTATATATATTATTTATTACACATACATTAGGTAAGTAATTTTAACTTTTTAATTATTGCTATTTAATATATTATCATTGTTATTTTATATATAAGATCTCATATTATTCCAATAAATGTTAAATAAAAGCTAAATTAGTTGCAGTAATAATAATAAATGACTAATATAGCGGGCAAATATTAGTATCCATAATTATTTGTCATATCATAGAAATATATTATAATAAGTGATTACAGATCTTTATAATGAACATGCAATCGATAGCTTAATAAATACATTTGAAAAATATATTATTGTGTTTAGTATGTGTCCAAGTGCTTCCAGGCAGCTTCATTAAATATGCTTAAATAATAGAATCTGATGAGCTTCGATTGTCAAAGAAGTTTATGTCTTTCAAAGGAATGTAAATTAATGTGGAAATAACTTGAAATTTATGCTTGATATTAAAATATATATGTTTCATAAAATCCTAATACGATATAAGCGCGCAATTTAAAATCAATTCCTTAAACTGTGTTAATGAAGCCGCGTAAAAGCTTTAATGAAAAAAAAAACACGAAATAACCGAAGCGCTATGCATCGATTGTGAACAGTTCAACTTGTCGTAACTATTCGCTAACTCCTGAGTTAGCGAATAATCACATCACTAAAAGGAGAAACGCTGGCTTTCAACAATTGCCGAAAGTGATTTGCGAAGTTCTTGATCCGTTGCTAGCGAGAGTCTCGAGGAATACCGTAAAGAATTATACTACAGATGCGCTTTTCACGCACAGCAGTACACTTAGTGACTTTTCCGAGAAAAAGAGTTTTTTATGTGAACCGTTATACTTTGGTAATAATTTAAATGCAGTTTTAATAATTTGTTTAGCCAAATTTAGCAAAATTTTGGAAAATATGTGTTTTTCTTTTTAAAAAGCGATGTAAATTTGTTTATTTTATATTGGTGATAGATTATTCAATAAGTTATAAATGTAGATTACATTTAAATTGAATGTACGTATTTTAAGAAAATAGTTGGCAGTTGTGGAAAAAAGTTATGAGATGATATTAAAATTCATAGTTTACTTTTATTATTAATCTTCGTCTTAAAAATCAATGGTTTTCATTATTGAATAGAAATATTTATTTATTCATTATTAAAGATCATTATCCGAATACAATTGTGTGCCTTTGAAATTCTTTGTAAAAAAAAATATGTTCATTTGCATTGATGTAAAAGGGCAGATTTTTAATATTGTTTGAAAGAAAATTACATTTAACAACAATTGAATAATACTTCCGATAAATAAATAAATATTATGAAATAATAAATTATTGATTATTAACGATATTCAGAACAAATTAATATTTTTGAAAGAAATCACTGCAATAATAGTTGAAATATTATTTTACAAAATTTAAACTTTTGGGGGAAAAAAAATTGTAAAAAGTGCTAATGAATATATTCTTCGAATATATTTTCATCCGCTTAATAAGAATAATAGTGAAAATTTTGATATTTTATTAGGGCAGAAAGTTGCAGGCAAGTACTATCGGTGAAATAAATTTTTCTTTATTTGAATTGGGTATTTTCATAACCATTATTTTGTAATCGTGTGAAGTAATTTCTGGTAGCTAACATTAAATGTAAATAAATATGTTCTTACTGAATACACCTCATCCCATGTAAAAATTAACAATCAACTGATCAGTAATTGCAACTAATAATAAAAATCATAATAATTGTAAATATTTATTCGATGAATTAGCGATCATTTTATCAGTTGGTAAAGCAGAAATATGAATTATGCGACGTAACTCAGTATATAAAAAACAATTATGAAATAAAACACCGGTTAAGGGAAATAATTCACATGTGAATGATTGAAGCTTTCGCTTTTATGTATTACGAATACGTAGAATGTGAAATTTAAATTCATGCATTTCCAAAGAATGATTTGATGAAAATATTTTACAAATCTCTACTCACAATTTACTTTTACCGTATGGAATATTATCATAACGATCTATCTATTCGTACTTTAATTTATTTTTATTCTATATCACATACAAATGATTTTATGCCCATTAAAATCATCTAAACATTGCATGTACGAATTTACGCAACTTAATATTATAATAGTTTTTTATAATTCTAATTTTATAGTGTAAAACAAGAGATAATTTACAGGTGAAAAACTTGTCAAGTCATCTAAGAGGATCATATTACGTAAAATAATCAATAAAACGATTTTACACTACGGACTTGTTATTATTTATTGAATATCTAACATCAACTTAATATGAAATGTTATAAAATTGAAGGATAGAAACTACACGCATCATGGGAGAATATCACTTTAGAAGTGACAAAGTGAAAACTCCTGGGAAGAAAAGAGTCGAGGCTGCGTTAGCAAATCTTCGCGACAGATTATATTATCACAATATGAAAAGCAATCGATCTGAAATGGGTTCCCAAACATTATAAAATTCAGGTCGAAGCATACGAGCGGATCCATCACTGAAAATCACTCGCGAGCAGGATAAGGTGTAATTAAGGGTGGCGCAAAGCCCGTATGACCCTCAGGACACTTACTCAGAGCATTTGAGAGAGCAGCCGCACAAATCAGTAGTAACAGTCCGATTAGGTGGCACACGCGTGGAGAACGCGTCATCCTGCTCTCTGGCCGCCGTTGCCGTTATCTTGCACACCCGGTCAATCGGAAATTTCGATTTATTCCCGTCGGTTGTTAAATAAACAAATGCCGATTGGACGTGAAAGTCGAAAGAGCAACAGCTTGAGGTTCTATCCTTTATCAACTGTGCGGAATCGAATGCATCGGTACAACGCTCCTCTCTCTCTCTCTCTCTCCCTTTCTTCGGTTTGGGGTGGGGCCTGATCGCGGCCCGCCGGGGTCTCAGCTCTGACTGGAGTCAGGGATTCCATGAGAGCGGACTTTAAGACTGTTTCGCTGTA